CATTACATCCTGAGGCTTCTGTGACTTGCTCCACGGATGATTTCAACACAATTAAACTTTTTTTGTTGATATTGTGACTCAAGGACTCCACTTTAATCTGCATTGTGGAGTTGGATTTTCCATAAAAACATTAATGCTGTTGGCGGGTGCATCTCTGCTACACTCTAATCTATATAATGGCTTTCAAGCAGAAAAGACTAATGTAGCGATAATACTCAGGTTACTTCAAAATACAATTCAACTGGCAGGAGAGGAAGCTGATAGGCCTACCGTTCAGCAGAGGACCCTCGAGCATCTGCAGCAGAGGAGACCAGTCCTGATTGCAGGAAATATATAAAAGGGTTTCCTGGCTGCAAGGTTTTAAAGCTTGAATTGCACAGTGGCTGATTGTTATCCAGAGGTATTTCACACAGGAACGATGTATAAATAAATGAGACATCTGTGCTGTCTTTATACTGTAGTGGTCATGGCCGAGCCTGAGTACAAATGATTTAAAAATCAGCAAATACAGTATATGAGTAATTCGGTGTGAACTGTGTACAGTCATCGATGTGACCGGGGAAATGGATAAGTGGTGGTCATTGTGTTACCACAGGGACCATGGAAACGGCAGGTCATGATGTCAGACGTTAAAGACATGGTTGCTTTCATTTCCTTAAAAATGTATTAGTCAAGATTTATAATTTGACCTTTGCAATCCGGACAGAATAGCCTTATATTCATTACATGTCATTTGTTAGACGCTTTTCTCCAAAGCGACTTACATACTCAATACTGTGGGCAATCCCCACAGGAGCAATTTGGGGTGAAGTGTCTTGCCCATGGGACACAACGACATGCTGACTGCAGTGGGACTCGAACTTGCTATCCCCCTGATTCGAAGTCCAGCACACTACCCACTGAGCCACAGCTGCCTATATTCGGTTCAAAAACGGCTCACACCCTTAGCAGATAGGGCTACAGATCAGCAGCTTAGAAGGTTGAGTATTCTTCTACTAAAATATATCAAATGTACGTACAGTATTTTTTCTGTATCGAAACATTACAGTGCAATATGGCCCATGTTTGACCCAAAAACTGTTAAAACCCTTATTCCTGTATCTTGCTTTCCCCCACTTTACACTCTGCAGAATCACTGATAAAGTTGGAAATAAAGATACTATACTTCTTTATCTATTCTCTCTTGTGTGCTCGGAAGAGAAGTGTAGGATGCCTAAAGTGAAGTTGTCTGTCGAAGGATGGCCTCCTTTTATTTTTTATTTTGCCACCTGTCTGAACCTCAGATGTCACTGCGATTAGCTCAGATTCACTGGAAAGAAAACTGTGTGAACGTAATAATTCAGAATTGGCCAATGATACATTTAAGTCATGTTAGTAAGGATTGCTATTCCCTCCACTGAACCTGACGTTTAAACATTTTACAAGCACCATTATACTTAGTGCTGTAAATTCCTTTAATACCTTAAATGCTTAAATCAACTGTATCGAAAGTATGGAATAAAATACCCTGAATTTGCTTGGAGCATCGTTTGAAATATGAAGGTGTGTGCCATGCAGTGCATACCAGAGAAAGGTGTGGGGTTCTTTAGTGGGGGTTTTCTTCTTTATAACCCAAGCATTCATTAGGAAGTCTAATCTGCAGGGCACCAGCAGGTCCCTGCCCTCTGCAGTGAAGGTGATTTAGCTGAAACACATTAAAATAGGTCAGGTGGACATGATGTGAAAATGGTATCTTTCCTAATTTACCAGAGAGCTGCTTGTGGCTCAGGATTTACGCTCATAAGCAACATTTGTGTTACTATTATAATAATTGACAGAACATAAAGAAATGTTTTCCGTTTTTTCCTCTAAGCATGAAACTGATGTCGTTAGCTCCACAAATAATGATTTTCTTCGTGACTTGTTTTCAAGTGTGGAAAATGAATTGCTTTTATTTTCAGAAAAAAATGTGATTCACTTATCGAGTAGACCAGGGGGGTCAAACTCAATTTAATCGCGGGCCACATCAGCATTATGGTTGCACTCAAAGGGCCAGTTGTAACTTTAAGACTGTAAAAATGCATATAAATATATATATAAAATAATGTATTATATTACATTATTGCCTCTGCATTGGATTAATATCAGATAGGGTAATAACTTCATAATTAACTACGTCGGAAAGCAGAAGTCTGGGGCAAATAATTGCAAGTCTCTTCAGTGAGAATGTCACAAAATGATTTAAAAAGAAAAGCCAAATTCTGAGAAAAAAAGTCAAAATCAAAACAAATAAAAATCTTTTTTTTGACATTTAAAAAAAAGGAAGTGACATTTAAAAAAAGAGTCAAATTCTGAGAAAAAAGGCATATCTGAGATGCATTGTGGGACATGTAGTTTATGGGCAACGTGCTTCTGTAAATCGCCATGTAACTGTATAATAAACATATAATATTGTTTGCAAGCTCTTGTGGGGCCACAGAAAATGAAGTCATGGGCCGGAGTTTGACACCCCTGGAGTAGACCTTTAATTATCCGGCTAAATACCACAAAGTGAAAGGCTGTGCAAAAATGGTCAATAATGCAAATTAATATCTGGTTGGCTCAGGTTGAAAGTGGGCGATTCTCTGGTGGAAATGATGTGCGAGCTAATAGAGTCAGGTAATTGTCAATCAAGAAAAGTCTACATGATTGCATGTTCCTGAGCAGAGGACTAATCAGCCAAATAATTAAAATCACCTCAGTGTGTGTTCACAATGGGTGTGCAATACAGGATGTCTCATTTATTCAATATCTGCATTTGTAAACCATGTAGAGCGCTTTGTGTTTGTTAAGCAGTAAAAGCTTTATTTAAAATTCATCTACACTGAACAAAAATATAAACGCAACACTTTTGTTTTTGCTCCCATTTTTCATGAGATGAACTCAAAGATCTAAAACATGTTCTATAAACACAAAATAACCATTTCTCTCAAATATTGTTCACAAATCTGAAAAAATCTGTGATAGTGAGCACTTCTCCTTTGCCGAGATAATCCATCCCACCTCACAGGTGTGGCATATCAAGATGCTGATTAGACAGCATGATTATTGCACAGGTGTGCCTTAGGCTGGCCACAATAAAAGGCCACTCTGAAACGTGCATTTTTGCTTTATTGGGGGGGTCTGGGGGGGTCCGAAAACCAGTCAGTATCTGGTGTGGGGGTAGGGTGAGGGTTAGGGTTAGGGTTAGGGTAATGTTGTGAATCGAGTGGCCCATGGTGGTGGTGGGGTTATGGTATGGGCAGGCGTATGTTATGGACGACGAACACAGGCCACTACATTTCACGTTAACGTCACTGTACGCTGGCAAACAATAAAAAGCCAACAGTATCTGCTAAAGAGCTCAAATTGATGAAAAAGATAATCTTACCCGAGAAACCAATTGCGTTTCAATCTCTCGCCAGAGTCCGGTTTTCACTACTCGGTTCGAGTACCTTTTCTCTGTGATGTCGTACAGAGCTGGCCTCTCCTGGATCAAGGTGATGAGCAGGTCTTCGTTTCCGTCATTCCAGATCTCCATGATGAGATAAAAATGTGGCACTGTGTGTGCCTTCTTAAATCGTTTGTTTACGTCCCTCACTTCCGTTTCGCTTCTCATGCACTGATCGCTAGCTGAACAGCCAATCAGAGTGATTGCTTGGTCCGACTGCCAGAACCCATGCATCGGGTCTGGATGTCCAAATAAGGCGTGTCACGGCCGACGGTGCGGGACACACCAAATTGAGTTTGGGCGACAGGACACGCTTCGTCTCCCGACTTACGAAAACAGCCGAAATCGGCCTGGTGTGTCAGGGCCTTAAGGGTTAAGCTTTAATATACCCTGAATAATCCTTCAATGTTTTATATTTTCCTTTATTTCCAGTGTTTTCAATCTCTTTCAATGTCTTAGGTATTTTTTCATGGTGATGCCGTATAGTCTCCAGTGAATAACTGAAATCAAAACAAACACCTCAAATCATACCAAGAAATAGAAAGTGAAGAAACATTGAAAGTGAATACAACAAAACACCTAAGATTGCTTTTTTCAGTTTCACTAATACGTTTGAAATCAGTTCTTCATTTCTGGAAATGTGGTTTTAGATTAATTGAAGACTCAAGTGTAAAGTTGTTATTAACAAAATGTTGCTGTCTTCCTCCCTTATTATAACATATTTCAAAATGAGTAACTTTGCCATCTGCGGTTCTTCTTCTCGCTGCTGGATGCATCTGCCTCGATGATCATGACTCCGTGAAGCAGGAAAACCACAGCCATGTTCTCCGTCAAACAGCTGTGTTACTAGAAACATCTGCATCAAAAGCCGAGGCTGAAACATTACATTAAAATCAACATGTTTATTGCCTCAGAATGTTTTATGGTTTAATAAATACTGTGGCCTTGCATACCCCCTGCATTTATTTGAACAGTTACACATGGCCAATAACATGCATCTGGCAGAGAGGAGATATGCCATACACAAGACTCAGACAAAATGGGAGTATAAGCATGTGTGTTCAATAAAATAATGTTCTTTAGGCAAGGCAAGTTTATTTATAGCATAGCATAATATCTTTAGCACTCACAGAACAATTTTAACCAAAAACAGCTTAGGACTTCATTCCTTTAATAACACAATCTTTATTCATATTAAGAGCTTTAGTTTTTTTCTGCCACATTCTAAATGTTGTATAATTTGTGAGATTCCTTTAAAACCTCAAAATGCAGTACTGAAAGTATTCAGGGGATGGAAGTGTTGAGAAACACCCAGTCAGCTGATTGCGAGACAGATAGGGTTATATGTTTCAACAAGTGTTAAGGAAACAGCACATCTCTGTTGACACCCAACTGGACACATCAGAAGGTCTGTGCTGCTGCAGGTAAACACTGTTGTTTTCATAAAGGAGATCATATAGTATTTTATATTTGAACACTTTGTTGGAAAATGTTGTTACATTTGACAAGATGTTGTTTATTTCAAATGTGTTCCTATTTTTTTTTACAGAAATCTCCCCAGACGGCAAAATGGATAATTATCAAGATTATTATTATCAAGATTATAACTACAGTGATCTCGACAATTACACTCCACAAGACGAACAGGTTTTTCAGCACAAATCAACGTGTGTAAAGGAAGTTTTGTGTGTTTTTTACTCGTGGTCACCGTGGTAATCTTTCTGCTGGGCTTCTTCGGAAACGCTCTGGTGATCTGGATTTCTGGCTTCAAGATGACGAAGACGGTCAACACCACCTGGTACCTGAGCCTCGCCATCTCCGACTTTGTCTTCTGCGCCTTTCTCCCGTTCAGCATCACCAACATGGCAATGGAGGAGTGGGTCTTCGGCCGCTTCATGTGCAAATTCACCTCCTCGGTTATGTCCCTCAACATGTTCAGCAGCATCTTCCTCCTGGTGGTCATCAGCGTGGACCGCTGCGTCTCAGTCGTGTTTCCAGTCTGGGCCCAGAACCATCGCACTGCTAATAAAGCCACCGGTGTTGTTTGCATCTCCTGGCTTCTGGCTGTCGCACTGAGCCTTCCCTCTGCCATCTTTCGGGATGTTAGCAGTCACTTGGGAAGGACCCTTTGTTACAATAATTACACCTCATACCAACACAGTCACAAGATAGTTGCAGTGAGCCGCTTCTTTGCAGGGTTTGTTGTCCCGTTTATTGTCATCATCATCTGCTACTCTATCATTATCCTCAAACTTCGAAACAACAGGATGACTAAATCCAACAAACCCTTAAAGGTCATGTCTGCGCTTGTCGCTGCTTTCTTCGTCTGCTGGCTGCCTTACCACGTGTTCGTCCTACTTGAGATCAACCATGAACACTTGGAACGGAGCATTTTGATTTCCGGACTCAAAGTAGGCACATCCATGGCGGCAGCAAACAGCTTCCTCAACCCGGTGTATGTGTTATGGGCAACGACTTCAAGAGGAAGTTTAAGAGCTCCGTGCTCTCAAAGATGGAGAACGCGATGGGAGAGGAGGGCCGCACCACCAGCCGATACCTGTCCAGGTCCAGCTCCATGGACGTGAGGGCTTCTACTCACATCTAAAGATATTTATCTGGTTTCCCTCAGATATGCAATTGATTGACACATGAAATGAATTATGTGTAGCTTCATGGCGCTAATGATCTTATTTGTTGTACTTTTTTACTGTTGGTAGCATGGAGAAAGCTGTTGTTCTTCAGGCTCACAAACACATAATGTAGTTGAAGAATGTAAGCTTGAGCCAATAGTTAAACATTGGGAATTGCAAGGTAGACATACATCTCTTGCAGTAGAAAGAATGTTTTGGGAGCAGTAGTTGTGGAAAGTTTTCCGGCAGTCATTCCTGCAGCAAAGAGATTTTTTTTCCTTCTAAAATACAAGGATTGTAAAATATGAGGGATTCTTCTTTCTGATAATAAATCATTTTAATGTGTTATAATTCACACTTGAGGGGCTCCTTTTATGAACAATGTTCTCTTCCATGCTCATGCATGAATTGCAAGTATGGCATTATTTTCATTAGTGAAAACACATCAAAATGAGAAGGAGGGTAAATGGCATGAGGTCCGGCAGGATGTGAGTATTTTGCTCATCTGTTTGTGCAATACATTGTTGTTATCATTTGACCTTTGAACTAAACCAAAAGCACCAGGTCACACATTGGGAAACAAACTGAAGATAGAAAGGAACTGTTGCTGAAGGAGAAGAGCAAATCATTGAATACTTACATTTCTTTATAATGCACATACAACCTCAACCGACCAAAAACCTATTTTGCATTGAAGCATTAAGTATGTTGTTGTGTCAGACTGACCCAAACAGTGTGTGCTGAGGAGTGGTCTGCTGTGGAGATACGTGCAATGAATCATAGAGAAAGCACACACCCAGCTGCTATTACCAGTTGACATAAAGAATATGTTTAATGGACCTCTATTTCTGTGTTTTTATGTTTCAGAGCTGTACAGCGAAAGTCACTTTGTAGATAATGTTTCTGTTTTCTGAAATAAAGCTACTAAAACAAAATTCAGCTCTCTGATTTACTCAATTGTCGATATCAAGTTCACTTGTGAAATAATAAGACTGAAAGATTATATCAGGCTCAAGACAAAAAATGTAACTATTGCAACACCTCCAGAGTCAAAATGTGTTTTCACCTGAAGCACAAAAAGACAAGATGAATGTGTTTGTGTTGTGAGCTTTGTGCATATAAGTAATCTCATTTTATTCTCAGTAACACAATTAAAGGAATAACAACAGCGAGAGTGCCTGGAGTTTTTTTTAATGTTGAAACTGAACTTTGAAACAACATCCACAACATTCATCTGGCTGCTACTTAGAAATTATGTATCTAATATATTGCATATAGACTCTTATTGCACTATTTTCACTATTACACTTTTTTTGTATTTACTATTTATTTGCACAATATTTTTCTGTTTATTTTTCTGTTTATCTGTTTTATTGTGTGCACTGTTGGAGTGAGCCTGTGACCTAAGATTTTCATCGTCATAACTACACTCTACCTATGTATCTGACTATAAAAAAAATCTTGAACCTATTGGGGAAGCCCCAGACTGCAGAGGTGACATGAGACAGGCAGTGAATCACAATATAAGCTGGGCAGAGTTTTACCGTTTGAGCTTCTATATTAACAAGTGCACCCATTATAGTGTTATGGTGGAGACCAAAATCTATCCGTCTATCTATCTATCTATCTATCTATCTATCTATCTATCTATCTAGTATCTATCTATCTGTCTATCTATCTATCTATCTATCTATCTATCTATCTAGTATCTATCTATCTGGTCTATCGTCTATCTATCTATGTCTATCTATCTATCTAGTATCTATCTAGTATCTATCTGTCTGTCTATCTATCTAGTATCTATATCTGTCTATCTATCTATCTAGTATCTATCTGTCTATCTAGTATCTATTTATCTATCTAGTATCTATCTATCTGTCTATCTATCTAGTATCTATTTGTCTATCTATCTAGTATTATTTGTCTATCTATCTATCTAGTATCTATCTAGTATTTATCTGTCTATCTATCTATCTAGTATCTATCTAGTATTTATCTGTCTATCTATCTATCTAGTATCTATTTGTCTATCTATCTATCTAGTATCTATCTAGTATCTATCTGTCTATCTATCTATCTATCTAGTATTATTTATCCATCTATCTATCTATCTATCTATCTATCTAGTCTATCTAGTATCTATCTGTCTACCTTGAGTGCCTTGGTATTACACAATATGTCAATTTTCCAACCCACAACAAAGGTCACATATTAGACCTAGTCTGTTGCACCGGTATCACTCCTTTTAACCTCACTGATGCTGAGTTCCCCATCTCTGACCATAAATCTGTGCTTTTTGAGGTAAATGTCCCCCTATCTAAAACAAGAGCACTGCGGACCATCACCTTCAGAAACATCAAACGCATTGACCCCAGAGACCTTAACTCCCTTATTGCCTCCGTGCCCAGTCCACCCCCATCCTCCTCCTGACCGCTGCTGAACTGGTGAGTCACTACAACAACTGTCTCACATCTTCCCTGGATGCGCTTGCTCCCCTGAAGTCTCGCATAGTCTCATTTGTGCACACTGCTCTCCCTGGTACACTGCTGCCCTCCACCAGCTAAAAACCACTGGCCGGCGTCTTGAACGTCTGTGCAAAAAGACTGGACTCTTAATCCACATTCAGCTCTACAAAGAACATCTCTGCCTTTACAAGAACCCTCACCACCGCTAAGTCCTCCTACTACTCCAACCTCATCAGTTCTGGAAAAGGTAACACAAGAAACCTCTTCTCAACCGTCAGACACCTACTCAACCCTCCCCACACAATCCTGCAATGACTTTCTGAATTTCTTCAATAGCAAAATCAACACCATCCACCTGCAACTGGCTGCATCTACAACCTCCAAAGACGACCCACAGTGCTGAGCTCCACCAGTCACCAGCTAATCCCCACCCTGTCCAATTTCTCGGCAGCTACTGAGTTCTCCATCACTGAGCTTATCCGTAAATCCAAACCTACTACCTGTCAGCTCGACCCACTCCCCACTGCCCTCGTTAAAACCTGTGTGCCCTCTACTTGCCCCTTGATCACAAGAATCATTAACTCGTCCCTCGCAACTGGAACTGTACCGCCAAACCTCAAAACTGCTGCAATAACACCAACACTCAAAAAACCTGGAGCTGACCGAGATGACCTGAATAACTACAGGCCCATCTCTAACCTCTCCTTCATCTCAAAAACCCTTGAAAGAGTGGTTGCTGACCAACTTCAACAACACCTGGACAAAAACAACCTTCATGAACCCTTCCAATCGGGTTTCCGCTCAAAGCACAGCACCGAAACAGCGCTGGTAAAAATCACCAACGACCTCCTCCGTGCAGCTGATATTATTATTATCTATCTATCTAGTATCTATCTGTCTGTCTATCTATCTAGTATCTATTTATCTATATCTATCTAGTATCTATCTGTCTATATCTATCTAGTATCTATCTGTCTATCTATCTAGTATCTATCTGTCTATTATCTAGTATCTATATCTAGTATCTATCTCTATCTATCTAGTATCTATTTATCTATCTAGTATCTATTTATCTAGTATCTATCTGTCTATCTATCTATCTATCTAGTATCTATTATCTAGTATCTATCTGTCTATCTATCTATCTATCCATCTAGTATCTATCTATCTCTATCTATCTATCTAGATCTATCTGTCTATATCTATCTATCTATCTATCTATCTATCCATCTAGTATATATCTATCTATCTATCTATCTAGTATCTATCTGTCTATCTATCTATCATCATCTATCTATCCATCTAGTATCTATCTATCTAAAAGTAGATTAAATATTGACTTATGTTCATTGTGATAAAAAGTAAATGATAATTTGCATCACATCTGCTGTATGTGTGCACCTGCATGCCAACATGTTTGCAATAGATGTTGTGTTACAGTTTGTCCTGTTGTTCACTTTTTTAATTATAACTCATTTGTATTGTCAACAAATTAATATTTTCAGCTTGACACTTCTATGGGAGGTGGAGGGCAATACTATTTGCTTATTTTTGGTACTAATGTACTTTTCTTATTGTTTGGCTTATCTATGGAAGGGCCTGGAGAAACTCTAGTGAGATCCAATAACAAAAACGTTTCTTTGATCTTCAAATACACATTTTAATGACCTTTCCCAACAGTTGTTCAGAAATGACAGCGGACTATAGCACACTTTTATTTACTCATTTATTGGGCCTTATCACATAACATTCATTCCATAAAAAATACATTCAAATGTGACACTGTGTGCCTGCTTGTCAATGAAAGCGAGAGCCAATAAAGTTTAAAGCATGTTTTAAAAATAGAAACAACTTCTCCCGTTTTGCTAGTTGCAATACAAATCTTGTCAAAGTGTCAGCAAACACTATAAAAATATATCTATATCATTCTGAAAATGGAAGTCAGTTAATATTTCCTGGTTCTCAATTACCAGTTTTATTTATTTATATATTTGTGTATCTAATTATTTATATATTTGTTTATTTTAAAGCATACCGCATAGCACAGTGAGTACCAGTATCAGACGTGCCGCTTATAAAATGTGAGCTGAATTTTTAAAACATTTGTGGATATTCTTTTTAAATGATGAGGAGTAAATGTATTATCACCTTTGACTATGCTTTCTATACAACAAAGACATAAACAAAAAGTAAAAACAGTTTTCACATTCAGTATGATTAACTGTCATAGAATAAATCAATAAAGATCACTACTGCTAAAGGAAACCTCCGATCTAATATACGTGTAATGCTTAATTCCTCAGTGATCTTTGGGCCGAGCGAGTGTTGCACAGAAAAGTGCTTTTTGGATTTCTGCATCAAGTCCAGTGTTAAGGAAACATTTCACAACCGAGTGGACACTGCACACCACAGATAAATAAATGCTGTCAAGGTAAATCCTCTCCTCGAGTCAGTGCCTTCAAGAGGGATGTGTCATCTTCTTGAATAAGAGGAGTTCTTAACCTCTTCATTGAAAATACAGATTCCTCTTACTCCTGATTCTTTTAAGAAAAACTTGGAAACACAGTATCATGATCAAGTAGTTATAACCTGCATATTGCATTTTTCCCTCTGACAAAAGGGCTGAACATTTTAAATTTATGTATAAAATAGTTTTTCTGTAACTGATAGCAGCACAAGAATCATACATTTAAAGTTTTCCATTCTGATATTTCTCTTTAGCACAAAATAAGCTACATCAAACTTTGCAGTATTGTATAATGATTTTTAGGTCACATGTTTTTTCTGACTGGCAACGAATCAGCCAGTGCCGTCAGATGAGCCTCTCTGTGTCACAGCTATTGTACCTCCTTTTGAGTTAAGGCATTTGCACATGCCTACACATCACATGTGCATAGAGCAGGATAGGAAGTGCTTTTCATTTAGACAGAGAAAAACAAACCTTCCCAGGGAAAACTGCCTCTTCTATTAATGCATAAAGCTGCTGAGGTTCAACAGAAAATGAAAGAACCTTAATATTAAAATAGTAAGAGTAAAGAGACTTGTTTCTGACTACAGCTTTGACCTATGTTTACCTTAAAAATTATTGAAACAAACTATTTCAGTCATGTTATCCTAAAAATGTGGTGCAGATGTCCAATTAACAGTCCGATTAAAGGAAGGGCGGGAAATAAATGATGAGGTTCACGTATATCATCTTGGCATATATTCGTCTGGAACTCCGGGCATGTTCCTCTTCCTCAAGGCAGCGTCGACTTTCCGGACCAGTTCATTGATGCTCGCTCGCATTTCAGGAGTATACGGGTCATACTCAAGCTTTCGCAGGCCGGACCGCTTGAAGTTCCCGTCCTTCTGGCCCTCGACGCAGAGAAGGCGCTCCTCAGAAACCTTCAGACCCAGAAACTGGACCATCCCTTTGAGATGGGAGAACAGGTCCCTCTTCACGTTCTCAAAGTGGACCACGTGGACCACCTTCCCATAGTTCAGCCAGTCCAACGTGTGGGACGCCCACCAAGGGGAATAGTTCTTCACAAACTCGGGCCACTCTGCGGGACAAATGAGAGACAGAAATTAATCAACGAGAGAGAAAAAGTGATTGTCAATGTACTACAAAAGTGCGAACAGAAGTATTGAAGAAGGAAAAAACACAGAGCAAGTAAAACTGTCTTTGGTAACAATGGAGCACATTAATCAACTTCCTCCTAAACATTGAAGTCAATGATACCTCATTCACACCAACGCAACTCCGGTTCAAGCTCCATGCTAGAGCTTTTCAGGTTCAGAACCGGTTCTTCGGTTTAGCTCCGGCTCTTTTCACACGCCCAGAGTCCGACTGGTGCTGCGTCATTGCGTCTTCGTTTGCGTCATGACATAACCGTTTGCGTGCCTGCTTCATAAAGCCAAACGCGCGAGCGGAAACCCCTCACAGCTGACACTGACAACAACAACAATGGCCCGATTGTGCTCCAGCTTCCTCTGTACCTCTTCGGAAGACCAGATTCCCAGCTGGTCTCTTCAGGACCACTGTGCTTGTTAAGTTTCTCCATCGTTGTGTACAAACGGATAAAACCAAAACGCGGGCTTTTTGTTGTTGTTCAGGAGTTGATCCCCCTGCCCCTGCCCCCGCCTGACGTATGCGTATGTGCTTTTGCTCCACCCGGACAATTTTTGGTGCTTGAAACAAACCGGATTCCGGAGCTAAGAGGCTGCTCCGCTGCGGTGTGAACAGGAAAACCCGGTGCTTTTCAAGCTCCAGCTCCGAACCGGCCCTGAAACACCGTTGGTGTGAATGAGGTATGAGTAATGTTAAGGAATAGCTCTTTAGTGGACACACAATTAATCAAATGCATGCTCAGAGCAGAAAAACAGTTGATAAATACAGGCTCCAATCTCAAAGCAGAGCAATCAAATAAATGCAAAAATAACATGTTGAAAAAAGACCTTTAAAAAAAGATTGGGTACTGGATGAAGGGGAAGTGAGACAAAAAAGCTGATGTATTTTTCTTGGGAAGTGGCCCAATTTGCCGAACGACATTAAGTGATTTCTATAATCTTTGGACAGTGATGTGGACATTCTTGGTTGTCAATCAAACTACAACGGTACTTTAGCAGAAACCCTTGGCTTGCAACTTGTAGTCATTGATAATCTACTGGCCCATAAAAAAAAGCCGGCTGCTGGCAGGAGCTGTGCTGCATTAGCACACATCTTACTGTGGGAGAGGTTGTCATTAAAGTTTAAAGCCTGCTGAGTTGGCAGTGTTGTGTCAGGAACCAACGAGAGTGGACAGAATATTATAAATGCATCTAAAAACACAAGTAGCTGTGCAGAAACTCTGAGGAGCCGCGTCTGGGTCTCTGACCACAATGAGTTTGTTCTTCTCTATCAGTCTTGTAAAAGCATCAGGGGCTTAAAATAAGAAGGAACCAACATCATTACTTCCCCCTGAACAGCCTGTTCTGCTAATGTTTGACTGAAAATATCAGATTAAGTTAAGATACTTATGTTCTTATTAGCAGGGGTTTGACTTTTAAACCCCAAATAAAGGGATTTATGTAAGAGCCTTTAAGTAAAGCCATCAGATCATACTGGAAAATAACAGAGTGTGCTTTGTAAAATGACATGCCCTCCAAAACAAGTTGCACTCGCCCCTGAGAGGACTTATTGAGCAAGAAAAGGAGGCATCAGTGTGTAAGGGGGTAACATCACCCGAAGCCCCCGGCCTCCCCTTGCAGAGGTGAGCGCATCAGACGGGATCCTCGCTCTGTATTGGAAGTGGCAGCTGTCAAGAAGCTTTTCTCTTTAATGATGTCACCGCATCGTTTCCCCACCAACAGCAGGAATAAACACTCATTGGAAATGGCAGGCCAAATGTGCTGATGTTTCAACAAAGAGAGACAACTGCTGGGTCGGCAAATCTCCTGCCTCGAGAAAATCGATTAAAACTTCGCAGAACGTCAGAGAGACGGTTAGCGGACTAGACAAAACTCGTTGTCATGGTTACTGAACACCACTCAAGCTGGCAAAGGAGCGAGGAACGCACATTATGCATGAAATATAAATCTTCTAGCAAAAGGACATAATGTTTTATGGATAAGATGTACTCGACCAAGAGGTTCATTTCCTTAATGATACCATTAAAAAACAAGTAGACCTGAGAGGAATTTAACTTCATTAGATTGTGCTGACACGTAATTAAGTGGTTGCACAATGATGGGTTACATGCTGGACGTGAATTAATTCTGTAACAGTGCATCTTCTTAATATAATATATTAATGTCAACATGATTTTAAATCAATACCTATAAAAAAAAAACACTTCTGGAGTATTAGAACAAGATACCCTTACATGCAGTAACATTAAAGATACATGCACAAGCCTTAAAAACATCTTCTGTTTAATAATGGAAACACATAGATATTTTATTAAATAAGAAGTTACCACTTACACATCCGTCTATTAAATATGAAGCAAGCAGCAGAGCCTCTCAAATACTTGAAACAGCATAGCACCACTTAACATATATATTTAATGCAATTAATCTGTGTCCATGACGTAAGCTGCTGCTCATAACCAATTGCCCCTTGCGGGATTAATAAAGTTGTTGATTGATTGATTGATTGTACAGGATCAACAAACGAGCAAAACAACAGCAATTTGCCATTTTGCTGTGTTTGTGTGTTCATTTGATTTTGTACCTTTAGACAAAACCAGGCTGGCAGTTTTCTGTGTTTTCTACCCACCACGTTTCATCACACTTAATAATTAAAGTAGCACGAGAGTCTGAGGAAGAAGCTGGTTGACTTGGTGACATAATGTAGCTCATGATTTAATAAGTGTGACTGATATTATGGTTGGTTTCATTTCTTGTTTTTTATAAAACGACAGATTGTGATATAATGTTGGAAATGGTTTTGAACATTTTCAAAACTTCATGGCTCAACCATGTTGGTTTAAAAGGTCAAAACCACAAAACATATTTCCTCTATTTCCTTACCAATCTACGTCAGCATGGACCATTCACCCACTTCTTTTTTATAAACTACCAGTGAAGACATTGGTAGCACATTATTTATAAATGTTATGTGATCTAGTCTGTCTGAGGAAGCTTTCTTATTTCTGAGTGACTGAGATTGAAAATGCTTAAAAACAGCATCAACATCAACAAGATTTGTCCTATGTTGAAGTCAGCCTGAACATCAAAGTATTGTACTGTAGTTAATGAAACTTCTTTAGTGCCATAGGTGTTCAGGATGTATTGGAACAACTACTGTACAATGTAGTGGCTCGAGCAGCTCACCTTTCCCTTTCCAATGGGCCTGGGAAGCGAATCCAATGTGGCCCCCATACTTTCTGTTGAATTCAGCCATGAGGGCTTTGTAGGGGTTTCGGATCATGACGACGCTGGAGTCAAAGGACTCGATCTCCTTCTTGCCGCTCTCATGAGTCTTAATGCAGATCGTCCTCCCACTCCGCCAGTGGTCCCGCTCCCCTTTGAATCCTGGGAAGAATGGCAACCCCACAGTAAATATATTGAACCAACAAAGGTTTATTTTTGATTGAATTGTTTGTGTTGGATAAATGTCTACCTTTGTTGTAAAGGGAGCCATCAAAGTAGTAGCTGCCGGTGAAGAAGCCGGTGGCGAGCTCTATGAGGTGACGCGCCCACGTGTTGCCGGCTCCGGGGAAACTAGCGAGGGCCACGAGCTGCTTGGCCCGAGTGGGGAGGAAGTGCCTGTCCATGCAGCGGTTATCTGATGAAACACAAAGACAGACAAGCTATGTTATTGATTTGATAATGATAATAATACATTTTATTTAAAGGTCCTCTATTATACTGTTTTTCATCAATATATTACAGGTCTCAGATATATACAAAACATGTCTCTGAAGTGTTTGGCTCCAAACACCAAACAGATCATTGCAGCATCCCATAATCCCCTCTGTTTCAGCCCTGTTTCCAAAGTGCTGATTCTCTGTCTGTTACTTCAGATGAAAATAAGGAGTCCCTCCCCACGCCCCTCTGAGAGATATTTGGTTACAAAGAACACAATGGTGCTCTAGGAGGAGATTCAGGTGATAAGGTGGGGGGGGGGGTTACGTTGGTTGGTGATTGGCTAATGGTTACACAAGACAACACATCGTTATGACATCATAAAGTGGCCAAAATCTGATCAGCTCATTTTCAGACAGGTTTTTATAGAAATGGATCAGGACAAAAAGAGAGAGAATCTTTGTTCCTGAAACTTTCAGATCTCTTTACACAGAGGGGACACATGTTGATGTAGAAGAGACATGAAAAGTGGATTTTGTATAATAGGTGACCTTTAAGGGCACCTTTCAAGACACCGTAGGACACTGTACAGTTTAATAAAAATATATAAGAGGTTAAAAGCAACATAACGTGATCAAAACACAATCAAGCAAACATGGAGGAAAATGAAAGGAAACACAAATGACGGGGACAGGACATTCAGGGGAAACAGATGATGGTACAGTGAGTAGGCTAATTTATGTATGTAAAGAATGACTGAAAAACACTTCAGTGATCGACTTGATATGAACTTTGTCAGAGTCTAGACGTGTGGTGAAAGACAGTGAACTATGATTCTGCTAAATATTTGACGAGAACAGAATCGAGCTTCAATGGATACTGAAGGTTAGTCACTTCCTGTTATTGACATATGTTGTAAAGACAAAATAAGTCATGTTGAAACATTGGAGTTTTGTGGCGAGGACATTGAACACCATATGAGAACAAGGTAATAAAAAGAGTCACGTGACCTCATTCTGGTGTTTTGTTTTGCGTGGGATAGCTCGGCTGTTTGCTCCTTATAAAAGATTGCCCACAATACCCAGTCACTGATTATTGTGTGATGCTTATACTCTAGAATAATACTGGAGTTAAATTCACAACATGTGCAGATGTGGTAGTGCAGCTTGTCCAGACTATTTACATAAAGTTCACTTCCCGCTGCAGCATGTTCTTGTTTTTTTGGTTCACAGCATAAAACCTCTTTTTTGTTTACTGGGTGCTGTTTTTCTGCTGATCTAAGCTCCAGCTGCGATGAGGAAACACTATCTTCCCAAGTGCTTCTGCCAGAGAAGGACTGATACTAAACCCCTGGGGCTGATAACAATATTTAGGAAAGGAAGAAAAATGGTTATCCATTTTTCAAAGATATGGTTATGCAATGATTATATGATTACTTAGATGTACAAAGAACAGCAATGTGATTAAGGTACGTTAGGGACAGGACATTTTACAGCTGGACTAGATAAACCTTTACACGGTGAAAAGCCTTTATAAAAAATTCAATTTAAACTAAAGTTTGTTGGAAAAGAGGCCCTTCATTGATTATGTTAAGGATTGATTGATACATTTTATTTCGAACCAGTAAAATAAATAATTACAAAACAAAAATGTTGCAGTGCATAGTCACGTAAGAGAAAAAATGACATTTACAACAACAACAGCATTAGCAGCATAAGCAATCCTACATCTAGTGTTCGAAAAGGAGTGAGAAGAAGTATCATTTATTTAATCTCACCCCCTTGTCCCTAAATGATTTATAATCTATAATCTGCAATAATTATGATATTATTAATTATGATTAATCTGCTTTACCTGTTGATTGACATATATACATATACACATTATGTACATACACATATATGCACATATACATATACACATACACACCTACATACTCACACATATACATAGTCAAACACCTTCCCCATCCCTGTACCTCGAGAAAATAACACTCGATCATTAGATCTAATTGTATCTAATGTTCAAGAGGATTACTAGATGCATGTGTGTCCTTTCTTTTCTGAATAATGTTTTCAGAATATTACCTTGTATTATACAGATGGAGCATGTTAGTTGTGTTCTATTTCATATTTGTATTGTTATAATAAAAACCTTGTGGAAAATAAAAACAAAAAATTATTTCAAACATGAGTAAAACAAAAGTAAAAACAACAAATCTATATCCAATAGACAGAAATGTGTATGTCCATTTCTTACAAATATAATATAGTTATATAGATGTATACCGACTCTAGTACACACAGGGGTCAAATAAAAAAAAGGGCAAACATGGGCAGGGTCAGAGTTTTGCTGGATTTTAAGAACTCAGCACTTTCACACGTCTAACATTACTTTAGGGTCGTTGTTTGTATCTCCTGCACACAGGGTGTGGCTGATTCAAGATTCAAGGCTTTATTGTAATTCGTACATAGCTACAGTGTAGTTATATCGATGAAAATCTTCCAACAGTGCAACACAATAAAAACAGCTAAAATAGTGCAAGTAAATACAAGTAAATACAAATAAAAAAAAATTAAAATAGAATAGAAATAGTGGAATAAGAGGCTATGCTGTACAAGTAATTGGAATATGATATATTAGATAAATAATTAATTGATGATGCATCCTGACATGTCTCTTTGTCCTATGGGCCCTTTATATAGGCCTTTGAGCCACCATGTGTTACCTTGAACCTGCGTCTGGTACACCACAAAGTACTCTTCGTTCCCGCAGGTCTCAAATTCTTCCCCGAGGCAGTGGTGGAGACACAGACTCTCGTCCTCCGGCTCGTGAAGCGAGAAGAGGAGGTCGGAAAGCCGCAGTGACATCGATCTCCCCCCAGGACGGCCAGCGTTTTCTCCTGAAATACAGCTGCCATTAAAACACTGAAAAACACACTCATATGTAAATGACAACGCATGGATGCACACATCACGTAAACTCCCTCACCCTCTCCGTGCACATGTCCACACATTTGTCCACAGACATGTTTTGGATGACCGCGCTGATGGGAAGTGCCAGAGTGACATTGTCCGGCCTGTGAAAAACACCCCTTAAAAATGGAGCTGCCATCTGAAACACACAGAACAAACAAATGTCATACACCAATAGGAGGGGAACAAACTCAAAGTACTCCAGTTTTATGGTCACCGAGCACAGCTTCTGCAGCTTGGCCTCTATTCACTGACCCCACATGGAGGGATCCCACTGGGACTCCCTCCACTCTGCTGGGACCCTGACCTGCCAGCACATCGGCCAATAGCAGCGCTCACATCCCAGCAGTGTGTTGATGACCTTTAATCTCAGATACTCACTCTCCTATGATGGATAGACAACAGCAGAGAAGAGATGCTTCCTTCTTTAGCAGGAAGTAAGTAGTTTGGAAGTAAAATGTCGTTTTCTGCTATTTTTCAATGCAAATTCTCAACAAACAAGCGGTAGAATCAGCATTGAAGCGTTTATCATCTGCATCCTGTGACAGAAAGCTGCAAAACTTTTTCATTACAGGTTGAAAAATGCTGTCAATGCGGAAGTAAATCCAAACATCCATTTCACATTTATTTCAGCCAGTCGACACGGCTTATGTGCTGATGTACATATAAAGCTTTCTCTGCTGTCAAGAGACTTGTTCATTTTATAATGAGGAGGGAAACCACACACTAAAAGCTTTTTGCCGTGCCATACCATGACGAAGACAGCCTGCTTGCTAAAACGCAGCTAAATAAAATATGCACAAGGAGAGCTTTGCGTCGGCGGAAATGTATACCAAAAACCTGCACCTTCCCAAGACTGCTAGTATTAGCCATCTGTGCTGAGAGGCTTTAACACAAGGTAACACCCCCTCGCAAATTAGCTCCAGCCATGTGTTCTTATCTAATGTTTTATTTATTTTTGACCTTTTTCCCTGGCTGAAAGTTGCATTTTTAATGTCCTTTGTTTCCCTGCAGTATGCCTTCCCTGCAACCTCTTTCGTTCGGCCCTTCTTTGCCCTCCCATATGGCGGAACTTATTAAATCATCTTGAGATGCTTTTTTGTGCTCTGTTGACTAGCCTCACACACAAGCAGCCTCCAAACATGTCTTGGGCAACATAATTAGATCTTTGATGTAAACACGTGGCTGAGTGAATGTAGAAGAACATAACCATGATGAATTGCAGATGGGCTGTGTGACAATGAAGCAAATGCATAATATTATCTTTGTAGGATTACATTTGGCTGAAAACAATAAACCAAGTGACCATTATGGCCCCTAAGGGGGAAAAACCACAAAAAACAGCCACCTCAACACATTGCCACATTTCCTCTCTGATGTTCACATGACAGAAATCCGGGTCAGAGGTGAAACAAAAACACGAATAGCCTATTCAGCAGTCTGAAGGCTAACCCAGAGGGGAGAAAGCAGAAATGAAAAGAATAACAAACAAACAGCACTGAACTGGATGAGCCAGAGCATTTAGATGTTTAAATATTAGTCATAAATGTGTACAGTATGCTGCATTACCGGATTATTTCTAAGAAGCAGAAGGTAAGAGAAGGTAAGGAAGAGCAAAGAGATGGAGGGACGGGTGTCCAAAGTTACTTCACACTGTGGACGGGAATTTGTTTGTTTTTAATTTAAAACAATCTACCTCAACTCAGATTTTTTTTGTATCACTGCTTTCCTTCAGTTCTCTAGCAGCAGTCAGTGTTTGGGGATGGGACCGGGACTGGCTGTGTTACGTAGGTAGCACGGTGCTCCGGGGAAAGGGGTAAACACAACAGAGCAGCAGGCTCCCATCTCTGGCTTTAAACCCAAAATAAAACAGACAAACAGCGGGGCTTTTGTATTTCTAATCCAAAATAGCTTCTCTGTGCCTCGCTGTCGGTCACCTCAGGAATGCTCATTCTAAAGCCATGGGCATCAATTTCAATGTATTCATGATCACATTTAAGAATGTTGTCAACAAATGTATTAATTTTCCACATTGAATTGCTCTCTTTTGTGTATTTGACAGACTCAGGGGTGTGTAGTTGTCGCAGAGTCACACTCACAGCGGCGCGCAGACTCATGGCTCAGCTCCAGCCTGTAGATGGACAGTCGGTTGGCTCCTCCACACAGGGTTGCTCTTCTCTCCTTTACACTCCATATTGCATTCACACTGTCCGGAAACATTGGGAGCCTGGATCTTGTGACCGCAGTAGCACTCCGCTCCGAACTCCAGGGCCATGCGTACATGTACCCTCTGGAGGGGAAGAGAAAGGGGAAAAAAGGCATGGCCATGGTTAGTAAACAAAGGAGAGAGAGCTTTAAGTGATTGTTCTGAGCCTCGTGATGATGTGTCTTAATCCTCCTCATGACAATACAGATTATCATTCAGAGCATCTGGATACGCAGTGATCAATACAACCAAACGGTGGAGGATGCTGTGTAGATGAAAATACATCTTCTCTGGAATAACATCTAACTGTGGTGAAGATGATGTAAGGCAAGTATAAATATACTTGACAACGGTGGTCTTCTCTCCTTTCTGTTGCTGCATGAAGGATTTACTCCCAAGAGGCCTTTGGGGTGCAATTAAAAGCCTAACACACCCCTCACACAAATCCCCTGGGCTATCAATCAAACCCAATCCTCTGAGCCCTGCTATTGCCCCGCCATTTATTTGTCTGTTTATATGAACCCGCTGCAGGAGAGAAGGCGAGCAGGTTGCAAGCAGCTATATGAGGAAGGAGCTGAAAACAAGCGTCTCCCTCCGTTCCTATCTTCTGCTCTTTGAAAACGCAGTCTGTGTAATTCAATGCATTTGATAAAGCCCTGGTTAAAGGTGGAGGAAAGATGGGGTGAGGTAGCAGAGAGGGGGGAGACAGGATGTGGGGGAAATATGAGGAGATTTGCAGAGACATGAAGGCTTTCAAAACTGGAGCAAACGTAAACTTGTATCCCGTACAAAAAACATTGATTTGATGCTGATGTTTTAATTCTATAAATGGGTTTATGTATGTAATGTAATGTATTATGTATGTATGTATATATGTATGTATGTATGTATGATTCATGTAATGTAATGTATGTTATGATAGTATGTATCATAGACTGTATATAAAGGTATGTAGGTAAGGGCAAGGCAAGGCAAGTTTATTTATATAGCACTTTTCAACACAAGGGCAATTCAAAGTGCTTTACAAAAAATGAAAGACATTAAGAAAATGGCATTATAAAATCAGTCATTAAAAAAGAAAAGCTAATAAAATAAACATTAAAAGAAAAAATACATGGATAAAAGATTACAGTGCAGTTTAAGATATTAATAAGTACACTTAAAAGCAGCGAACAAAAAGAAAAGATCTTGCAGCCTGGATTTAAAGAGTAGTCAGAGTTGCAGCGGACCTGCAGGGTATTCTGGGAGTTTGTTCCAGATATTTGGAGGCATAATAAGACTGAACGTCTCCATGGTTTAGTTCTGACTCTGGGGACAGAAAGCTGACCAGTCCCGGAAGAACCTGAGAGATCTGGATGGTTACATCATTTTAGCAGGAGGTCAGAAATGTATTTTGGGCCTAAACCATTCAGTGCTTTAATAACCAGCAGCAGTATTTGAAATCTATTATTTGACACACAGGAAGCCAGTGTAAAGACTTCAGAACTGGAGTGATGTGATCCACTTTCTTAGTGTTAGTGAGGACTCGAGCAGCAGCGTTCTGAATCAGCTGCAGCTTTCTAATAGATTTTTAGTGAGACCTGTGAAGACACCATTACATTAGTCGAGTCTACTGAAGATAAAAGCATGGACAAGTTTTTCCAAATCCTGCTGTGACATTAGTCTTTTAATCCTAGATATATTCTTTAGGTGATAGTAGGCTGATTTAGTAACAGTTTTAATGTGACTGTTGAAACTCAGGTCAGAGTCCATGACTACACCTAGATTTCTGGCTTTATCTGTTGTTTTGAACATTGCAGACTGAAGCTCAGCGCTAACTTTTAAACGTTCTGCCTTGGCTTCCAAAAACCATTACCTCAGTTTTATCTTTGTTTAATTGGAGAAAGTTCTGACACATCCAGTCATTGAGTTGTTCAATGCACTTACCTCAGTGTTTGAATTGGAGCATAGTCTCCTGGTGAAATTGTTACGTAAATTTGTGTGTCATCTGCATAGCTATGGTAACTTATTTTGTTGTTCTTCATTATCTGAGCCAGTGGTAGCATGTAGAATGTTAAAGAGAAGAGGCCCCAAGATGGAGCCTTGAGGTACCCCACATGTCATATTTGTCAACTCAGATGTGTATTTACCCTATAGAAACAAAGTTGTTTTCTGTCCTTAAGTAGGATTCAAACCAATTTAGAACTGTTTCCGAAAGTCCCACCCAGTTCTCCCGTCGTATGTCGTATGTATGTATGTATGTATGTATATAGAATTTTGTTTATCTGTGTGAGTATTTAATAACGGAATTATCTTTTTTACTTCATCCTGCAACAGGATGACTAACGAGAGGGCTACTCCTGTATAAGCTATGCCCTCTCTTTTTCTAAGAGTTTTTTTTTTCTTGTCTAATTGTGAAACAGTAGAATAAATAATAAAAATAAATAAAAAATAAACATATACATAAATGAAAATGATTGAATACAATTGCAGCAGCAGTTACAATATTGCATGAATTGTTCTATATAGTCAAATACATGCGGCCACCTTTAAACTACACTAATATATGACGGTTAAACAAGTCTTTTTAAAAACCATGGGTAATAATAAGCTGATATAGGAGCTGTGATTCTTCTACAGACCTGGTGAGGCCAATACTATTCACAGGTCTGCACGATTTCTGGAGCCTGGCTGCAAGTATTTGCTCCCAATCAGCCCTAAGAGCATGATTAAGTCTGAGCGCTGATGTTGGTCCATGAGGTCTGACCCTCAGATGACTTTTCTATTCAATCTGCAAACCGCTGGACTATTAACTAAATAAAGCAGGCAGCTACCACAGGGCAAAAATACTTGTAAAAGGGGTGGCACTCCTGAATACAGGCTTTCAAAAGAAAATGTCCCAGTGTTGGGCTCAAATCAGCATATTCATTTGATAGAAAAATGACATGCATACTGACAAAAAGAGAAAAGGACATTCTTGATTGATTCAATGTGCAATATACCAGAGGAAGTGTCACTATCATGTCACCTGGAATAAATAGATTCTTATTGCATTTGTCAGTGTGCAGGCAATATTTCCATGCAAATAACCACCAGAAGGCCACTACACACGGCGGCGTGCGTTGCCGCTTCAACGCTTCTGCCCATTCTATTGGAATGGGGTGACGTCACGATTGGCCGAACTGCATTGTGGGAGCAAAGCGTAGCTTCTCTCGCGGTGCTCGCTGCAAAAGTAGAGCAATGTTCTACTTTTGCCGCCTCGACGGAGGCGTCAGCCAATCAAATCCCGCGTATGCAAATCTGACAGTACAAGCGCTAGCCAATCAAACCGTGTGTATGTTGGGAGAGCCAGACCGCAGTTATTTCCCATATGTCAAAAAATGGAGGAGAAATTATCGTGGCGATAGGGAATCACCCGGTATATGACCAGTCCCTCTTTACATACAGGGATACAAACCGGAGGAGCCAGGCATGGGGGGAGGTGGCAGAGACAGTGGGTGAAACTGGTAGGTTTTCGTCTGTTTGGGGATTTTATATCCAGTGTACTTCGTTTGAATGGACAGCTAGCAAGCATAGACAGTATATTTAGCCAGCATGGATGTGGCATGAATGCTTTGTTTTGTATGTCCGGGGCGGGACATTCATGTGATTGGTTGTTGGTCGCGTTGCTCGCGTTGACTCCCCAAGCTCAAGACACGCCCACCGCCAAGCGGCAACGCACGCCGCCGTGTGTAGGCTCCGTTACGGCCCTAGTGTCTAAATGCTAGGTCAGGGGTGCCCAACCAGTCAACTGGGAATCTGGGGAGATTCCCAGTCGATCACGAGATGTGTCTAAAAATAGAACAACAATATTCTGTTTTATCTTAATATCCTTTAACATAATTTTCCTGTGCCAGAATAATGCACTTGAACGCATCAAAGCTTTGTGATTGGCCGGCGTGACCCCATGTGTCGGGGCGTGGCTGGTGGGCAGGGCAGTGGGCACTATTTCGCTGACATTGTCCGTGTCAACCATGGTGTCAACACTCAACAACAGGAGTGACAGTCCGCACACACACAAGACCGCAATTATGGCAGAAGCAAAAAAGCCCAAAATATATAATTTTCACTCCGAGTGGGAGGATGATTATTTCTGTATCTATTCCAATTCAAAGTCCATCTGTCTCATCTGCAATGCGAGCGTGGCTTTATCGAAGAATGGTAATTTAGGAGCGGCATTTCAAAACAGTGCACAAACGCTACGAGACGGAATTCCCTCCTAACCTCCTAATCCCACCAGGAGCGTCTGCGCTGCGTTGCGCTGCGGCGTTTTTAGCGATCGCGACCACTCTAGTCAATGGTGCTATTCCACCAGACACGCTGCGCCGCGGCTCGAAGCGTCCCAGAAGCTCCTCGCTGCAAGGAATTTCTAAAATATAGGATGAATCCTATTTTTGACGCGGCGCAGGCAGGAAGTGGAATGTTCATCCAACAACTGCGAGGCTGCACACACGACGCTCCGCTTCCGCAACGTTTTGAAACGCGCCTGGTGGGTTAGGACGCAGGAGGAGGTCGCAGCGCGGCGCAGCCGCAGCGCAGACGCTTCCATTGGGATCAGGGGGTAATTCTGCCCTACGCTCCCAAAAGGGGAGGGGCCTGAAAGGACAGCTAAATGCACAGCAGTCCATTTTCACCAGGCCCAACAACAAGAGCAAGGCTGAATACCATAGCATCTTATCGTGTCATGAAGTCTTTCAAAGACGGCGAAGTTGTGAAAGAAGCATTCCTGGCTGCCGACGCGCTTTTTGGGGACAGTAAAAATAACAGTAGCATTTCAACAGGTTTTTGATATAATAAAAACTCAAGTTAGATACCGTTATTAATCAGCTGTAAGTTTTAGTTTGTTTGAACTTATTCATTATAATTATTGTACAAAATGGTATAAGAATGCAAACTTAAATTGATTATAGTCTATTATCAATTCAGGTTAAGAAACTAGTGTTGCTTGCATCCTATTTTAAAGGCATTTCTTTTTATACTCTACTAAAATGCAACAAAAAAAGGGTTTGATTCTATTAATGTTGTCTTTTTTATTGCACTTTGGCAGCAGATTCCTGTGTAGCTTCAGATCTGAGTTGTCTTATTAGTACGCCTAATTTATACTTTTGTAGCAACACTATTTTTATATAATGGCAAAGAAAGGGTTCAGAGTCTTTTCTTTTTTCCCTGTGTCATATGTGGCAGCACTGTTCAATGTTTCTTGAAAACATTACCCACTGTATTGTGACGTGTGAATAAACTCCAACTCTGTATCAACAACACTGTTGTGTAACTTCAGTTAAATACCTGTATGTGTGTAGATTAGAAAGAGGTAAGATAAAGGATCTGCAGTATTTTATGAAGTATTCATTGTACAAAGGTCAGTTTTATACAAGTAGAAGTGTGTATTTACCTGGTAGTAGGCTGTCAGTAACTACACCTCTCTATTTGGACTGGTAGATCTCGGCAGACTGGCAACTTTAAAAGTAGCTCTCGGTTCAAAAAAGGTTGGGCACCCCTGATCTAGGTTAATCCATCCATCTTCTCCCGCTTATCCGTGGTCGGGTCGCGGGGGTAGCAGTTCCAGCAGAGAGCCCCAAACTTTCTTTTCCCTGGCGACATCAACCAGCTCTGACTGGGGGATCCCAAGGCGCTCCCAGGCCAGCGAAGAGATATAATCCCTCCACCTGGTCCTAGGTCTACCCCTTGGTCTCTTCCCAGCTGGACGTGCCTGGAACACCTCCCTAGGGAGGGCGCCCAGGTGGCATCCTAACTAGGTGCCCGAACCACCTCAACTGGCTCCTTTCGACGCGAAGGAGGAGCGGCTCAACTCCGAGTCCCTCCCTGATGACCGACTTCTCACCTTATCCCTAAGGGAGACACCAGCCACCCTGCGGAGAAAACCCATCTCGGCCGCTTGTATCCGCGATCTCGTTCTTTCGGTCATGACCCATCCTTCATGACCATAGGTGAGGGTAGGAACGAAAATGGCCCGGTAGACAGAGAGCTTTGCCTTCTGGCTCAGCTCCCTTTTCGTCACAACGGTGCGGTAAAGCGACTGCAGTACCGCTCCCCGCTGCTCCGATTCTCCGGCCCATCTCACGCTCCATTGTTCCCTCACTCGAGAACAAGACCCCGAGATACTTGAACTCCTTCACTTGGGGTAAGGACTCATTCCCTACTTGGAGTGGACAGTCCATCGGTTTCCTGCTGAGAACCATGGCCTCAGATTTGGAGGTGCTGATCCTCATCCCAGCCCGCTTCACACATCTAGGTTAATGACCAAATCAAAAAGTCCATCCATACTACATTACTACAATTATTACATATTTTAGGGTTTGTGTTTTTATTTAAATCACTTCACTTTTGTCATATTATCAATATTTCTAATTATCTGCCCTTGTTCTTAGATATTATGATTTCTGATTGCATGTCTTCTGCTGTGTACTTACTTCAATTCTGTATTATTATAATTCAGCCCCTAGTTTTGCTGCTATAGGCTTAGACTGTCGGGGGACACCTTACTTCTTCCTTCTCTCTGTCTGTACCTGTGTACTCTCATATTCCGAATAACCCAGCTACCCCCAAATTTCTTTTTGGTGTCTATCTACGCCGGGATCCTGAGTCGAGGCTGATCTTGAGTCCTGAGTCCTGATCTGAGTCCTGGACTTCGAGTCGTGGCTGAACCTATCACTGTGGTCCTGCCTGACTCATCATACTACTTCCCTGATGCTCCCACAGGATTGTTGACATCCTCGTGGATTCATCTTCTTATTACAGACACATGCATTTCCAAACATTTGGTCTACCTATGTTGTAAAATGTATTATCTTTTCAATTTACACACGGCATCTATTGCACGTCTGTCCGTACCTAGGAGAGGGATCCCTCCTCTGTTGCTCTCCCTGAGGTTTCTCCCATTTCCCCCTTTAAACTGTGGGTTTTCTCCGGAAGTTTTTCCTTGTACGATGTGAGGGTCTAAGGACAGAGGGTGTCGTATTGTCATACTGAAATTCTGTACAAACTGTGAAGTCCACTGAGACAAATGTGACATTTGTGATATTGGGCTATATAAATAAACATTGATTGATTGATTGTAAACCTCAGTTCAAAATGCTTTTCTTATTAAGATAATATCAGATAGCTTTGTGTAAAATATAATGAAGATTTTCCTTCATTTCACAAAGGGGCACAGCCCAAACCAAGAATAACAACCCCATACAAGTCTATTCACATGTTGTCCTATAGTCCATGTTATTAAAGCACAGTGCTGTTATTCTTCAGCGTAGTGTTTCAACAAGGATAAAAACTGATGACAAGCACTTTGCTCTATACAGCCTATGGCTCTACTTTATTATATCAGTGTAACAGTAGAAATAAAAAAAGAGAGGATATTTAATGAACGCTTGTTTTCTTGTTGTTTGCTGCTGCCATACCTTTCTGCACAGTTGTCCTGGCAACGGAATACAGTCATTTTTTGTAGTCAAAAAAAGAAACTCCTCTCAGCGCTCGCTTCTGTGTGTCATCGATGTGGCAGCCAATGTACTTTGCTGAAAAAGAGAACAAGGTCATGTATTTAAAAAACAGACATATTTTCTAAATAAAATACAGAGATATACACATTACACTTCCTTCAGCTGCCGTACAACACAGTCAAAATAACGTGTCAAACAGACGAAAACATTCGGTGTCTTCCTCACATGTTGACACAGTGCAGAAACATCAAGCAGGGAAAGAAGTGTTGAGAAACTATAATACTGCAGCAAGTAAAAGTCCTTCATTCAAAATAGCAATAAAGTAAAAGTATTTGCATCATCAAACAAACAAGTAAATCAAAGTACAAAAGATGGAAGTACTCATTATGCATATTATATTACTAAATAATAGTTCTGTATGCATTATGTGTTATTAATATCATAATGTTGCAGCTGGTAAAGGCATAACTTATTTATATTCCTTAGTACGCTCCTCCTGGGTGATCAAAGATTAATACACCATCATTTAGTTGATGTATATTAAGCAGTGTTTCCGCTAGGATTACTGCTTTGGGGTGGTGCTGGGCCTGAGCGTGGGGGGAGGGGCTTCATTGGGATATATATTCTTTAAATGCCTCTGGAGGCAGAGAGAGGAGCTGTGGATTATTGTTATTGATTAGTGCATCAGTGTTTTCTTAGGGTCAAAAACACTAAACTCACAACTTAAAAATGAAAGCGTTTAGTTTATTTAATAAAAGAGCACATGTTCAATGTGAAATGTGACAGTAGATATAGGTTAGTTGCAATTTGGTGCTATATATATATAAAAATTGTAGTGGAGTAGAAATTAAAGCAGCATAAAAGTAAAAACTCATGCAATTTGCAGGGGTTGTGCACCTCAGAGTTGTACTAGTACCTGAGTAAATGTACTTGTAAAAGAGCACATGTGGAGTCCAAACTGGGGCAGACACACATCCCCTTCTAGTGGCCTGTAAGTGTAACTGTGCTCTCTGTGTGGGGGCTGGGCTCCAGTGAACCTCTGCAGAGCGAGACAGCTTCCTCCCTCTCATTAAAACACACCAGTCACTTTAGCTGGCTCTACTATACCTATAACAAACAAACCTCTCGCCATCTGTGTAGTGCCATTACCCCCCTGAGCCCCGGACATAGCATTACCTTAATAGTTGTGGACTAAAGGCTTACATTTGTGCAGCATGTGGTCTGGAAAATAATCTGCTTTATGATGGAGGGAAACGCTGATTTACATACACAATATTTGATATGGTCTTTATACTATGAGGGAAAAGGATAGACGACACAGATGCACCCTGTTTTATATCTTTCAATATAATAACCACCCTGCATCTGGTTGATCATATTAACAAGAGTCAGCAGTGGTTCAGCTGTATTCCCAGTCCTCTCCTGTTTTCCCTCAGTATATGCTTCTGTGCCACTGCACCACACAGTGGAAATGTGTTTATGTGCCGCAGTCGACATGTTATGCTGCAATATTCCTTCAATTTAAATTCATAGCCAGTGGGAAAGAGTGCATTTGCAGTGAGAGAAGAGGACATAAGAGAAAAAAATTGCAAAGTAATGAGAGGTGCTAGATGTATGAGAGCAAACGAATGCTTTGAAGCTGCTAATTACTCCATCATCACTTTCAGCGGCAGTCCTGTGAGGCTTCAGGAGGGGGGGGGGGGGGACTGAGAGGCCTGCATTTCATCCACCCAAAGCTTGAATATACATTGTAAACATGTTTATTTTCCCCTGCCCTGAATTGGGGAAAAAAAATAGCTCTGCATACACTAGAAAACATTGTTCTTTAATACTCGACACTCTGATGTGCAGCGGGCTACGGCACTGTGCTGTGACTCAGGGGAGTGACATACAATTGAATCACTTATTTGTTTTTTTGCTTACTCTTTAAGCTCAGAGAGGTTGGAGTCTATCCCCGAGTACAGTGAGATGAATAATTATGAAAACACACACACACACACACACACACACACCACACACACACACCACACACACACACACACACCACACACACACCACACACACACACACACACACACACACACCACACACACACACAGCACACACACCACACACACACACCAACACACACACACACACAACACACACACACACACACAACAACACGACACACACAACACACACACACTACACACAACACACACACCACACACACACACACACACAACACACAGGCACACACACACACACACACACACACAGCACACACACACACACACCACACACACACACACACACACCACACACACACACACACACACACGACACACACACACCACACACACACACACACACCACACACACACACACACACACACACACACACACAACACACACACACACACACACACAACACACACACACACACACACACACACACACACACACACACATTTATATTATCCACCTTCACTCTTTAGATCAACCAGAACCCCACATTACCACAATTAGTTATGGTGAAATGAATGGTTTCCTCAGTGTCTATTATATATGCTGTGGATATGAATACATAGAATTACACTGTAACTTAGTAGATTTATGTTTTGGTAATGCTGCCTTTACTTGGTCGCAATTGATGAGCTTTATTTATTTCAGTTGGCGGACTAAAATTGTATCTATGACAGCGTCTACAAATTAGGTATATGTACTGTAATGTACTTGAACTACAATGTTGAAATCTGACTATATCCTTTTTATCTTTTTCATACCTTTTGCAGCCCCTAATTTCAAACTACAAATTTACAATTGTTTTTACTCCACTACATTTACGTGACAGATAGACTTACTACCCGAGTTACTTAGAAGATTGAAGTTGAAAGTGCCAAAACTCATGATTAATATATAAACTGCCCATTAGTATATCAAGTAGCTCAAAAATGTGCTCCAACTCAATTGCAATATTAGAATCAGTGATGATAATCCAACTAACATATTATATATAGTATTTAGTGTGAGTGCTTGAAAGTGTATGTTTATACGTATACTCACTACAAAACAAATGAAGATATTTAATTGTACAGAGTTTTTTAACAAAAGTGAAAGGGTCTATTTTTTAAACTGTTACACAACTATTTTGTATTTCCTCATGGTGAGAGAAGTAGGGGTCCTTGCGCTACTTCTGAGTAGATGTCGGAGAAATACACTGTTTGACTATGTTATTAATATTTTATAGTTCCTCCAACAGAGGAGAGAGTGTTTGACAAGCGTAAGAAAAAGCCGAGAGGGGGAAGAGTAACCCGATAGAGAGCTCATTTGATCATGTTTCATTGGCTAAGGAAAAAAGACAGATAGTCGTGCCAGTCTAAGGTCAGAGCTGGTCGCTCAGGACGGAGAACGTGTTGTGACTCGGTAAGATGTCGCATGGCCAGCAGAGTTTACATGTAAACCATTTCTGTCAGGATTTTGATGTAGCACAGTAACGAAAGGAGAGATAAAAACTGTAAATCCTGTGATCATGAAGTCATTTAGATGTGTGGGATTGTGTTGCAGATGAAGCTCTGCGGGTTCGGCCCTCGAAGGATTCGCTCTGAGACGAGACGGAGGACTTAATCATAATAATCATCTCACTCCACTCTCAAGAGACCTTCTGCAACCACCAATTACAACCAGAAATCCTCAGCCATTAAGAAGTGTGGTTTGTAATTACAAGATTACTTTGGATCAATTTCATATTAACGTGAAGTGTTGGAGGGACAAGTGTGGCCTGTTGCCAGGGAACATGCATTGTACATTAGCCTGTATTCAAATGTTTTTAAATAAGCCTACTTATAGTTTTTTCAATATTCTCATGAGCGACAATGGGTAATTATTATTGTTCTAATTATTTTACATAAACTTCAGGTGTAAACACTGAGCAGGTCATTAATCTTGCAACACTGCAATTATATTTGAGATTGCTGGTGCATGTTGTGATTATTCCCTAATTTAAAATGTATTTTATTATACTGTACCAGTACATTCTATTTACGCTTTGCTGATCTGATTAAGTGAGCACACATGGAACTATCGTACTTGTTTTGATAGGTAACTTACAGTGGAGAAAACAGGGGATACATGTGGACCATATTTTATAACTAGTTTCAAACATGATCGGTGGTTTAATTTGAAAAACTGTCAGGCTGAAAAGAATCCCACTGAAACAGTGTAGTGAAGGAGTGTTTGTGTAACCCACCTCTTCCATCGTCCACATCTTTGGCGCTGCGTGCTTTAAGGGCCCGGTTCCAGTTGTTGGTGTAGTCTCCCCCCCTGCGCACCGTCTCCTGGCCCTCCTGTCCCGGCTTCTTCATCCACGGAGGGCCGTACCTCCGCCCGGACCGGCGAGTCTCCTTAAACACTCGACTCATGATGCCAAGCCCCCGAGTGTCTGACAGTGAAGTCCGGCCTCCCTTCTCTGAAGCTACCAAGGGAGTCTCGGCCTCCTCTGGCCCGGAGAGCGGCTTTCCCCGACGAAGCCAGAGTGCAAGAAGACGAGGCTCCCGGCAGTCAGGTACAGGAGGATGAGGGAAAAGAATCGGACAGGTTTCCTCCGGAAATAGCGCTGTATTTTCAGCAGAGGCTTGGCCATGCTGGCTCCCCCTGCCAGTGATGAAAACTCATAAAGCAGAAGAGTCAACACCAGCTGTCTCTGTTCCCAACACACGGCCCCACTGGGCCCCAAAAAAGTGAAAATTAATCAGGTAAGGTGTCCTTAATCCTGTATGAAGATTATGCCAACAATAGCATGATTATTCTCTCATGTGTGCTTCTGCATTCTCATGAGGAAGAGGAGATGATGTTAGTCTCCCTGTGCTGACAGTCCAGCCTCGACAGCCGGCTCAGGGTCCGCTGCATGAAAGGTGAGTGGCTCAGAGTGAAAGATGATCCTTCAACGCTGCCTCACTCCAGTTATCAGCCTCCAGAGATACCACAGTGGCACTTTCTTCTCCACGCTGTGCAGAAGGAAGAGGGTTTTATTACAGGCTGAGCTGAGATCCTTTCGTCTTTGTGAGGGCGGCTATTCACTGAGAGAGAGGGCGTGACTCACCATCTGCAATAAAGACAGCAACACAACAAAAAGGAAGAATGAGTACACACCTGAGAAAGCTTTAAATCATGGAAAAGGGGAAATTAAATCAGCAGGTGTATAAAGGAGGATTCCTTGCAAGGAAATACATCATCCTCATACCACTGCTGTTACAGGGAGTCACAAGATCAACTGTCTTTATTCTTTCATATTCTGTAAAACTAACTTATTAACGAAAAAGGCAATATGGAATTGCAAAGAAAATAAGGTTCAAAGCAATCAAATATTTGGGAAACGTTTCTGATATTAGTTGCACAAAACAGACGGTAAATCTTCACTACAAAGAACTCAGCGTTTAACATTGTCCTTAAATAATGAGGGTTAAGCTTAAAAGGGGGGAAAACAAAGCTCTTCCCTGTGGCATTTTTCACTGATGTCTACGAACTAAGCAATGCTAATTGTGTGTGAATGTGTGAAAGGAAACCAGGCTCACATGATTTTCAAAGAATGCAAAGTTTAAAGAGCTGCTCATCATAATTCTGTTTTAGATTTTACCCTGATAACCTTTTCTTTTTCAATTGGCTGACTTCCCAAATTCTCAGCAGCACCTCTCAAAGGAGTCTCTGTTCTGGGACGAGCCCGGGAGGCTACAATTGGAAGGTGTAACGCTACACTCCTCAGGGTGAGGGACATTTCGAGAACATTCAAGGGACGCTCGCCCTTGTGGCTCTCTGTCTACCATGGGACAAATCTGCAGAATACTTGTCACCTGAGACTTGAATGGCTCTGCAGACCTCCCATGTCTTTCCACCCCTCTATTAGTCTGGGAAGAGTTTGGGACCCTCAAGGATAAACGGATCACATTCTGCGTGCTCAAAGCCTCAGCATCCGGGCACAAGGACAATCCACATCCTGTCCTCCTTCTCTAAGCTTTGCCATTGTGTCCTGTTCTCAATATCTGCAAGGAGAGATTTCATTACTGATTTATTGATGTCTGCGTTTTAATAATTTCGTATTTTGTTATTTTTAAGATCCCTTTGCCAAGGTGTTGTTAAGTTCCCACATGAAAGACACTTGATGTTCTAACATATACTGTGATGGGTGTTGGGGAAATATTTTCCAAGGCCCATAACTTTGACCCAGTTTATCAGTTCATACTGTCCTCCTGACTTGAGCACACGCACCTGTAACCTTGGCTGCTGTGCTCTCAGTGTTTTGTCTCCCTGTTCCTGCCTGTTGGCGTCAGCTGATGGAGGTGTTATGATTATATCTTGTTATGCACAATGTTGATGATTCTCTCTGAACTAGCTAAATACATGGGTCTGGGGTAGAGTTCTTCAGAATTGACGTGGCAACTCTACCGTGAAGTCAGAACCTCTGACTCTTTGACTTGTTTTGTGAATTCTCCGGCCGAAGCTCCTAAATAAATCCATCAGTGTTTGACATCAAAGCTCCATGTTAGGGTTGAGTGAGGCAAGCAGGACCCAAATGCAGATAAACAGAAAATACCTTTATTTCTAGGCTACAGATACAGAGCTGAACACTCTTCCCCGTGAACACAGTCCAACTACAACAAGGAACTCACAAAGACTAACAGAAAACACAGAACCTAAATGCACACAGGACTAATCAAACAAACCAGAGACAGGTGAGGAGGGAGGAGAAAACACAGGGGCACAGGTGAACACAATCGGGTAATCAGGGAGGGAAAACAGACAGAAAGCAACAGGCAAGACAGGAGGTGAACACTTTACAAAATAAAACAGGAAACCAAAGACAGAAAAAGACAAGACAAAACACAACACAGACAGAACGTGACACTCCAGGGGCCCATTCCAATAGTCCATTTAGTTTAGGAACCTTCCTAACCAAGTGAAATGACCCGGAGTACGTCACTGGCAGCCATGATAAGTGCCGTTCCAATTCTCCAAATGAAAGGAAAGGAGGTTTCAAACTTCCTTTATAACCTCCTTTAGCTTAGGAACCACTGGACCTCCCTTACCGAAAGGAGAGGAGAAAATGCTGCCCCACAATGCATTGCAGCCGCAGCATTTGCGGTCACTCAACAGTCGGCCGTTCACGGACACAAACGATAATGGGAGAAATGATATCATGAAAGTTATGGTGCTTATTAAGCATTTTAAAACGTATGTGGTAAGTTGCCAAAGTGCTTTTTTCTGAACGTTCATCAGTATTATAATCAAAAAGATAAATATGAACGTTAGTTTTTACTGAAATTATCAAATAAAGTCAACATCTCACAGTCTTTACTGAGCTGTGTGGGGTTTGTTCAACTTTTAAAAGATGTTTGAATGGTGATATACACAGTGATAGATGTTAAGGACTAACGTTTATAATAAATACATTTGTATTTATTTTAAGATATTTTAATAGTTCAAACAATCATACGTATTGGGATCATTTGTATTAATGTGGACCGGGGGGAGAGGGTGACGAGCATAAGTTTCACTTTCCTTTTTTATTTCAATTCCAACTTTGGTCCTGAAGAATATGTTTCTCTGTTGTCCACGTTCATAAAGCATAAAGCAACAGCATCAGAGCACGGTGCAGAGTCTCTAGATGAGTCCCTCGTTCTTATTAAACATCCATGTTGTAGTCCGCTGTATAGAAAACTGTAGTTTCCATAGTTTCCCCACAGCAGCAGACGCACATTCATGACGTTCGCTGGCGCATCATAAACACGTCGGATAGTGAAAGTGCATTCGGATTCTCTAAGCACCCGCAGTCTCTTCTCCTAAATCCTTTTGAATTCTCCTATCCACTATCCCTTAACCCCGTGACGTTTCCCTCAGAGGTCAAGGAATAGGAGATAGGGTTAGAATTTAGGAGCTGATTTTTGGATTATCGGAACGCAACCCAGCTCTCCCCGTGTCTCCTTTGAGTCGGTGACTCCTCCTGCATTGCTGCTACACAGAAATTTCCCCCACAATGGGTCAATACCATTGGTCAATACTAACAAACAACAAAGTAATTTAAGCGAGGTTCACAATCAGGATATAAAAGATATTACATTTACAGGTTTCACAGCTTAAAAAACCCCACACAGAAATAAACTGCTATGGTGTCTGAATGCTGTTATAGAGTTAGATAATACATTTCAAAACATGCCTAAATAAATCTGCACCTGTTTAAAAGTAATTGTTCCCTTTTTTGCTGAGATTGAAATGAGAAGTTTGACACCACTTCCATGTCTATGTGCTAAATATGAAGTCAGAGACAGCAGCCGGTTAGCTAGCTCAGCACAAAGGCTGTAAAACAAAGCAAAACACCTAGCCTTAAAAGGGAAAACTTCGGCTACCTTTAGATTTAATTAATACCTGTGACATGTGATATCTTGTGTAATACATACAAAAACATGAATGTAAAAACGACTGGTTGTGGAGTGTTATATCCCTGACTATTTGTTCATACTATGCTCAACTAAAGCTATATATTTAACTGAAGGAAGAAGAAAGCAGATTTCCCAAACTCGTTTTTCACACATTTGTGTTTAAAACATCAATGAACTTGCGTTAATGAACAGCCTCCCCTTCACATGGGTCCACGTACATGCATGTACACAATATAATATATTATTTGATTTATTTTGACAGGTGTAAAATCATGATAAAAAGTGGCTTCGACACTCTCTCCCAGTAACCATTTCAGTCCTGTCTCAGTATTTTGCTCATTGTCGATGGAGAAATGACTCATATTTCAACAATAACTCTGACACAAGTTAGGCTTTGTTTTAAACTCCATATTTAGTTTGCCTTGGAGAGATTGATCTAGATTTGGTTCCCTACAGCGTTGCAAGGTCTAAATAGAAAAACAAAAAGGCAGATTTCAATATGTCTCTTACTCCCACTCTGGAGTGTATTCTTGATGGGATTTAAGTCCTGAAGGCAAAGATACACAGGAGAGCATGTGCTGTGTGTGCACAGGTCAAATATAGCAAGGTCCTTATAGAGAAAATAGAGAAAATGACATAAGGATACATGTGACACCTCCCCGTTCAACATGGCTGCACTCAGGTTTGGTGTTAAATATTCAACCGAAATTGAAATTGCTCCTGTGGCTGTAATATGCAGGTTGAAATGACACTAACTAGAGTGTGAAATGTCAGTCATGTCAGATCTGTTACACTTTAGGCACTGTGGTGCTTAAAGCAACATGCTAACATTAATACACTAAAGCTGATGATGATGGGGTTGTCATTTTTTGGTCACAAAACCAAGTATTGGATTTGTTAAGATAAAAAAAAAAACATTATTACAATTCATCCTGAGGATATCTGAACATAATATATGTACAAACTGTCACTTCATGAGAACCTACATGTGAAGGTCATGGGAAGGTGGTGCAAGAGGACATTTAGGAGATCATGTAGATCATATCAACTGACTGGGGACCATGATGTATATTTTCCAAGGCCCATAACTTTGACCCAGTTTATCAGTTCATACTGTCGTGACTGAGCACACGCACCTGTAACCTTAGCTGCTGTGCTCTCAGTGTTTTGTCTCCCTGTTCCTGCCTGTTGGCGTCAGCTGATAGAGGTGTTATGATTCTATCTTGTTATGCAGCATGTTGATTATTCTCTCTGAACTAGCTAAATACATGGGTCTGGGGTAGTTTTTTGTTCTTGTGGGTCAGTCATCCACACCAATCAGAAGTGCTGTGCTCCACATGTACCAGCCATTGTTAACCAATCAGAAGTGGCCCATGATAGAAGGTGATAGACAGATTGATCCAATCACCTGCCAAGTATTTTTGAAAGTGCCTGCCCTTTCCAAATGGCTTCCAATGGAGCTTTCCTAGATGGTTTGGTGAAACAAACCATCTGAGTCAGGTTAGTAATGCTCCATCACATGTTTTACATCTATGACAGGGTGCATCTTAAACTGAAGCTTGACTTTAAAGCCACCCAACGGAAGTTTCATGTAAGTTTAGTTCTTTCACTCGTAGCTCGGGCTGCGGGGGTGCTAGAGACAGGAGCATGTTGATGCGACCTTCCTAGCCGG